CACAAAAGGCCACACCTTCTTGGTCTTCATACATTCGAATAAATTTAAGACTTAAAGGCACTTTTGAGAAAGCAAGGCTCTGTAGAATTCAATGGAAACTTCAGCTCTACTCATATCATTGTGGGAAAATTCTACTACCAGCCCCTTATCACCTTAAATGAAATAGGGTAAATACATCTCATATAACTGAGTTACTGGTAGTCTCTAAACTCTGCCTATGTACAAAAACTTTCAATTAATGCTACTTTTCATACTCCTTTAAAAAAAGAATTCGACAAATTCCCACCTGGAGAGGCCAATTTGATTTGATGTAAAGTGCGGGTGAGGCGATTGTCTGTAGAGCCCGAGATGAATGCAGCTGCTCACGAGGACTCACGAAGATTTTGTCAGCGGAATGTAGCAGCAGATGCCTGTGACTTTCCTGAAGGGTTACAAAAAATTTGACACGAGAGTTACCTATTAAATATAGTTGAATGATGCATGTAGGAACTATAAATAAAGAGAGATTTGAACTAAATACCGGCGCCCAATGATACCAGATTATAGATGTTTTAGACACTTTGGAGACAATTATAAAGTGGCCGAATAACATTTGTTAAATGAGTTCAATAGATCTAAAGTTCCTGGATCCAGGCTAATCGCCGTAGGTAGTTGCGACGCGGAGCATGGTAGAAAACAAGTCGATTAGCGCATTCGGATTGAGTTCCAATGAGGAGGCCAAAAAGGTCATGAAAATGCTCTCTGAAGTAGCTGTAGTCCACGCCCGAAAGGGATATAATTAAAGACCCATAAGACCAATAACACATACCAAGCATGTCAGGGGACAGAAAATAAATAGTATAAAACGACTGAAAAGCTGAAAGACATCTAAACATTTTGGTTTCTAAGTATTCTTGTAAAGCGATAAAATTCCAGTCCCTAATCCAACGAGGGCCGTGGTAACTAAGCTATATCACTCAAAGTAAATTATATAACTGGCACATTGGTAGGTGAATATCCATTGATTTCCTTTAGTTCTACTCTTTCTGCTCATTTTTAGTATCTTTCCGCCTTCTGCCTATACATAAAAATCAATAATAGCTTTTACCTAAGCTAAGAGATTTTAATAAACTGTGAAGCTTAGAAACAAATTCATAGCCAAAGCTAATCATTTTTTTTTAAATATAGACTATTTAAATGATGAATAATGAATGGTCTTTGGGAAGGATGAAAATTATGTGAGTTTGTCAAAAATGAAGTTGTCTATTTGCTTTGAACAAGTTACATGAATTCTAGTAACGTCAGCTTATAGAAAACGGAGACGAAGTGAAGCTAA